TCTGTTGCAGTGCCCTGCTAAGAGCAACTTATTCTTACCTTCTGTTGAGGGTCTGAAGTACTCATCACATTTAGTGACTGCTGTTGGATCATTTATATTAACTGCCATTTCAGTTTTCTCGCAATTGCCTTCATGTTCTTGGTCAGCCAAAGATGTTCCATTGCCAATTAAAGGCAAGTTATCTTGATTGTAGGCATCAACTGGCGAGATAGCTGAGCTTGTTTTTTCCTCCTAGATGGGGGAGACATGCTTAGTTTGTAATATGGAACACTGGGAGGTATGACTGGCCGAGCGTATCTATGGCACTTACAGAAATTAGAGAGATAGGTGACAAACTGATTAAACTAACAATTGAAAGAGTTATCCTAAACAGAGTTCACAGGGAAGACCTCAACAGCAGAAGGAATTTGTTAACCCAACATATGGCATTCATCTACACATCAGACAGAACTGCATTTGTCAGGTTCTCAACCCTTGGTTTAAATGTAGAGTGCTGTGCACTTTATGCTGTCAATACCTAAAAGATTCTAAACAGATATGGTCCATAATACTGATCTGACTGACAGTTCCATAAACTCAGTCTGATGTATTTGGCACAGACAGGGCCCAATCCCTCTTTACATCAGTTTTGAAAATCGATTTTGTTTTCACTACAGAAGTATGACAATCTACAAGAGGTGCAATTTTAGAAGGGCATGCAAGAAGGGGAGAACAGCAGCTTCTTTAGAAACAGCAAACTAGTTTAAACAATGTTTTTAACTAAGAAGTGTATACATCTTAAATACATACACTAGCATGTATACCTGGGGTTGCTCGAGTCATTAAGGAGGGCAAAAGGTTGCGTGTACAGGAGTCAGAGTTGGGGGCTAGAAGGGGCTCAGAGTGGGGGTAGATTACCATAGTTAGTTCTCTTGAAGAGTCCTCTTTCATTTCTACTTGAGCCACAGATTTGTCTTCACCTTCACTCGGTTTTTGTTCAGAGAAGCAACTAAACAAATAATTAAAGTCAGAGTAATCTAGTCAGTTCTAAGGTTCAATATTGTCCTACATCCAGCTAAGCCATTTAAACATAGGAAGCTTGTTTGAGAGCTTACCCTACCTCCTGTCCCACTACCAATATAGTGGTCTGTTTAAATGGCAGCAAGCTCTCCCATTAACAATCAGCATACCCAGGGCTTGACAAGCAGCAGCGAGCCCTGCTTGCCAGCTGTGCGGTTTGGCACGCTGCACATGTGCAGACTGCGCTGCGGCACCGTGCCGAGCTAAAATCTACTCGCCATAGGTTGAGCCCTGAGCATACCTCTCCCATGAAAGCTAAAATGTTATCATGGATGTATAGCAAGTCATGACTACCACAGAATGGCCAAACAGCCATCTCCATTGACAGAAAACAGATAGATTAGATTTAAAAGAAGTTTCTACTTCTTAACCCAGCAACATTTCTATAAAAATAACTCTCATCTTGCCTTGAAGAGTTTGAGGCCTTTCCACAAGTTCAAAGATTTACTTACTGAATTTCAGGCACTATTTCTTCAATTGCATCTACAACAATTCTGTTAATCTGTTCTGTTGGAAGAGGTTCCCCTTTTGGTAAGGTAATATCCTGCTCTTCTTGCGGATTAGCTTTTTCAGTGTTGGGTTTAGGGCATTTAGGTGAACTAGAAACTTTGGAACCTCCTCCAAATGGATTAAAGTTTGGATCATCAAATTTGTCCCAGTCAAAGCTATAAGAGCCTTTGGAAACAGGAATTTCATTTTCTGTTTTACTCTTGCTTTTTGCCTCAGAGTTCTCCAATGTCTTCCCTTGAACTACAGCAGCTTTTTTGGAAGGGGGCTTGATTCCCGGTCTTTTTCCAAGTTTCCTAGGAGGTGGCTTTTTACTAGCTGTTTCATCAGTAAAGTCAAATTCTAGTTTTACAGATTCGAGCTTGGAGAAGACAGCCTCTTCTACAAGTTTTGACTCTTTTGTTGAAGTTATTTCTGCTAATGGAGAATTCTGTAGTTTTGATCCCCCAGTTTTGATAGGATGTGTTACATCAGAGTTGTTAGAATCAAAGTTGTAAGATCCTTGTACAGAAGGTGTAGAAATCTCTGTTTGTGTTGATCCCTGAGGAGAATTAGTTTTGCTCACTTGTCCAGAAGTAGGCATTATATCCTGTTCAGTATCATTAGGAATTGGTTTGGGTTCATTTTCTGACACCAATACATCTATGGAAATGGTCTCTTTTGAGAGGCCTACAAGATTGTCTTCATTTAGATTTGCTGTCTCTGAGACTGTAACTGTTGGTGGGGAAGTAAAAGGAAGTGTATCATTCAAAGAGAGAGAATTTCTATTATTTTTTTCAGAAGCCATTTCAGGGTTGCTAGCTATTAATAGAGAAGAGTTTTTTAGGCTCTTGGGAGAATTCTGCATTTGAGAAGAACTCTGAAACGGATCCATGTTGTTTAAGTTATCAAAATCAATGCTGTATGTACCACAGCTTTTCACTGGCATCTCATCATCTGGATAAGGAACAACGGCCTTCTCCATTTGCATATCTTCTCTGCTAGGTTTAGTCTCAAATTCGGTTGTTTGTTGATTTCTGTTGCACAGAAATAAAATCAGTGTTAATTTATAGTTAGCCATTTTAAGATAACCATTAAAAAACGCATGCTCCAACTCACATGCTCAAGTTTGCAATGCTATATGCAACACCAGAAGAGCTGGACAGGAGGGCTAAAATCACCATAAAAAACAAGAGAATACAGGTGCTTTCTAAAGAGCCTATTAACCTGGTCTCGTTCAGAGATTAGAGAAAAATCATAATAAGTTCTCTTCCACATTGTGTATATATGGAAAAACACTGCTGGGTCCCCTTCCTTTTCTCCTCACCTCAACCCAAGAATGCTTTACAAGAGGGGCTGAATATCCAATAGGATAGGCTTAATATCTACCACAGTAGTAAAGAAAACCCCAACACCTTAAATACAAAGAATGGCATACATTCCTGGGCTAGTGCAGATATTTATACAGAGTTTGTAAGGATGGGGGGGGGGTGACCACGAGCATACTGTACCATGTTGTAGCATGACTCACTTTGACCATTCCATGCTTTACTTTCACTAATCACTGTTTTAGTTCTGTTGTTTGATATCCACTGGTCACGACTAGGGATGTAAGTGACTAGTGACTTGATTAGTTGCTCCCCCCACCCACTGCCTCCATCAGAGATCAGAGAGGGGCAGCGGGCAGGAGGAGCTGGGAGTAGCTGGTTCCCCCCAGCGCTCTCTCTGGGCAGGGGAGACCCATGCCAGGGGCACAGTGGGGAACTGGCAGCACTTCCGAGGCTCTTGTACATTTCAAAAGCAAAAGCACCATGGGGAGCACAGGGCAAGTGGGGGACTGAGTCCCACACTGGCCCCATGCTCCCCACAAAGCTTCCACCCCTGAAATGTAGCAAGATACAAATTCCATCAATTATTTGATTAGTTGATTAATCTAGATTTAACATCTCTAGTCACAGCCTAATACTGGGTCATGAAATATCAGGCACTGTGTCTCATTGCTGCAAGGTGATCAGCAAAGGTGCTAGCGCAGGCTTTCTGCCTGTCCTGGCACTACAGACTGTGTTGCACTCTAGAAGCAGCCAGCAGCAGGCTTAGCTTCTATGTAGGGGGCAGGGAAGACCATACAGGGCTCCAAGCACTGCCCCTACCGTGAGCATTGGGTGGGAACCTGGCTGCTTCGAGGGAACAGAAATGATCTTCAGTGCCAAGCCAAGCAGGAAGTCTGCCTTAGCACCCTTGCTGCATTGCTGACCAGGAGCTGCTCAAAGTAAGCCCCCTCCTGCCCCAGCCCTGACACCATTCCCCAAAGCCAGAGCCTCTCCTACAGCCCAAAAGCTCTCATCCACAGCCCCCACTTAAGTCAAATTATGCTGGATTGCAGGCATCAACAATTTTCTTCAATTGGGTCATGAGGGAAAATAGGAGTTTGAACACAACTGTTCTGGTTGACTTTTTTTTGCCGCCAGCAAACACCCCTTCAAATCTATGAAACATATGCCCGAAAGTCATAAACAGTTTTTAAGTCTTAGACTTCAAACTACTGTATCCAGCCCAGAGAGGCAAGAAAGAACATGAGGGGGAAAAAAAAAACACACAAATAAGGCTCCTGGAGCAACAGAAAGAAATGACTGACTGCTATAAGTGAATAAATGATAGAATCATTAGGCATACTCACTATAGACACAAATTCTAAAGTTAGGTATGTTAACATATCAGAGTTCCCTGAGCTCAAGTTAGCTTATTCGTAGCTCATGTACTAGAGAGCATTAAGACATTACTTCCTGAAAAAGTATTTCCTCCCATTGTTTTGTCTTTCACAAAAAAGTACAAAAATAGTTACATGAATGCTGCACACAGAAATGCTAAACAGTAAAACATAACTAAAAGCCAACCAGTTAAAGTTCTAATTTGATAAAGTTGGAAGCAAGAACAGATATGGTTCACTATGGTCTGCTCACCCTGTCTTGCAGAGACAGGAACTTGCAGACTTGTCTAAGTCAGACCCCTCCCAACCTTTCAGTGTTTAGCCCAATAAGAGCTTGAGAACTATGCACCACAGTGCACTTGTTAGAATGTTTCCATCTATAATATTTTAGGATTAGAAAGAAGAAAGTAAATCCTTAGGCTCCTTAACATAAGCAGCACTGGACTATGTAGCAATACAAGGATTCTCACTTTAGCATGGGAAAAGGTAGAGAGGAAACACACAGCCAAACTAATAGTTCTGGTACTGGTGCCTGAATCATTACTGACAACATCGTCAACAAATGTTCCACTTTACCATTGTAAAAGTCATTTAATCCCTACATGTCAGATCTCATATTTAGATGTATAAGAGAGTTTAGTTGGCATATGAATTACAATTAAATATTAGTAATTATGCCTAAAGATCTAGATTCAAATAGTGGTGCTCAGTTCAGAGGGGCTGCAGGAGACCAGAATTTGACCACTAGTCAAAGATTACACGGTTCTTTTTTATCCAGCTTGAAGATTGGCATTTTGTTCTTTATTTCAGATAATTTAAGTATCACTGAAGAACTCTAGTCATGTACATGTATTACAAAGGTGTAGTCTAAGGGCTTTTTTCACAGCATTATTATATAGGCATAATTCACACATTACCTACAATCAGACTCCTTTGACCAGTATCATTAAAAGGGCTGGGAACAGAGTACAGGAATTTCTATTGCAAACCATATTAGTACTGTTTCTTACTAGGGCATTTTTGCTCTAGCTATATATGCTCCTTTGTATAATTCTTAATTGCAGCACCAAATTGCTTTTATAATTTGCTGACTAGTATAAAAGCTTCACAGTTGATTATGACAATTTCTAATGGGAGATAGTAATCCTCAACATATATTGCATTTGCAGTCTAGTAACTTAAAAGTCTTAATATGGAAGAGCAATAATATTACTCACGCAGCATTGCTGGATCCAGGCAGATGAAGGTGTCCTAGAGCTTCTGTACAATCATTTAACGTGAAAGCAGTCTCCAGTTTGTTTGCCGTACTAGGACTCAGGATTCTGTGAGTCTGCGGATCCCTCATAGGAGTTTGAAAAGTTACCTTTGTGGTGAAAAAAGCAGTTTCTGATTGAATATTTTTAAGGCACTAACAATGCATACATGGTGTTCTGTGAGTGAGGTCCTGGAATGGTGAAAGGGAAAAGGCTAACAATCATGGACATACCTTCGTAGCTTTTGCTACATTTTTTGGTGGCAGATTTTCTTTCTGTGATGGACGAAGGATAGATGGTCTCCCTGTGGATTCTGGTGATGGGAAAAGGAAGGAACGGCTTTCTGCCGTTAGATCATCACCAATGTTTTCGCCATTTAAAATCTGCAGACTCATTCTAGAAAATAAACACATTTACATGCCCACAACATGAATAAGAGGGAGTGGTCAGGCAGCTGTGCTTTCAGATAACAGACACCTAACAATCAACCTGGCATGCTAGTGAAGAAAGCGTTTAATAGACACAAATGAGTTTTACTAATACTCAGAATCCTTGTGCAAGTTAACATACATATTTACTTTTTCAGTTTAGTGTAATATGATACAAGCATCAGCAATTCTGCTTTTGACAGTGGTAAACACAACCTGGTTGCTACAGTTCTTTTCTCTTTCCTTCCATCACCCAAACTGGACAGGAATGTGCAGTCATCATGACATTCAAGCTAGGCATAGCCATAGCTTTTATAGGGAGAACAGAATGCACACAAAATTTCAACATTTTATTTATGTATCATAATTAAGTTCCTAAAACTCCTTATTTGACCAAAGCTCTTAATAGACAATGTTCTGAAATGGTATGGTGGACATAAGGATGTAATATGCATTTCTTCCCACAGAATGTCTGTTATTCACCCCTTGAAATATAAATTGTAACAACAGTCCAAACAGACACTGTAAGGCACACAGAACCATAGGATCCTATTTACATAAATATTGTGTATAATATTTGAACACAGGGCTACTCAACTTTGGAAGCCCCGGGGGCCACAATGACACTTACAGCACATCTTGAGGGCCGCAACTTAGTGTAGTTGCATATACATGCAAATATATGCGAATAGCTTTTCACACTGATGGGCATGAATATGAAGATTAAGGCAAGATTATACAACACACAGGCCCCATTTAAGTAAATTCTGCTGATATTAATAAAATGCAATATTTATCCAATTTTCACCTAGATGACAGCACTTTTAATGAGCAATGACAGCCCAGGAATTTAATTACTAAAATGCATCTCAACAGAAGACCTTTATATCAACTACTTTTTTTGTTTTGGCTCCCACCCACAGGCCACATGTTGAGCTCCATGTAAACCCAAACCACACTACAGGCCACAAACAAACGGGCCGCAGGCAGCCCATGGGCCACATGTGGAGTAGATGAAAACCAGATTTTTATACGGAATATAATTTTCCCATGCAATGCGAGCACAATTTCTCATACTTCCTTTTCCAGAGAGTTTTAAATCAAAGACAAAGGATAGATAATTTTAGAGCACAATGAGCTCAGGCTCATTGATTAACTATTTAAACATGTATACTAACACATCCCTATTATGAACTAGGGATGTTAACTAGAACTAAGCATGTGGGGGGAGGGGGGGGGAGGGGAAGAAGTCTGCTTCTGCTCCCGCACCCTCTCTCCTCCCCCACTACACTTGGGGCTGCCAGCAGCCCCCAGTATGGGGGGGCGCGTGGGCCGCGACCCGGCTGAGAATGGGGGGGGGGGGGGGAAGAGGGGGAGACAGCTTCATGCTTGGTGCTGCTGCTCTCAGCCCCCTTGGCTACGTCTACACTGGCCCCTTTTCCGGAAGGGGCATGTAAATTTCACCAGTCGTCGTAGGGAAATCCGCGGGGGATTTAAATATCCTACTTCGAAGTAGGAATAAGACCCTCCGGAAAAGGGCACTTTTTCCGGAGGATCGGGGCCAGTGTAGACGCTCTTTTCCGGCAGTGTAGACTGGTGAAATTTACATGCCCCTTCCGGAAAAGGGGCCAGTGTAGACGAGCCCCTTGGGACTACAGCAGCCCTCTGCAGGCCATTCCCAGATACCAGTTAACTGGTGCGGAGTAAACATCCCTCAGTAAGAGTGATACTTACCAGGTAACTGGTTGTCCATAATAGGGATATAATGGGTAATACCTTCAGTTACTCAGCAGAACATGAAAACAGGCAGCTTCAATTAGGGATGTGAAAGGTTGTTTGTAAATGTCTAACTGCTCAAATTTTTTGCAAAAAATCCTACTGCATTTTAACATCCCTAATCATAACCAGTAAGCCTCAACATTGGCAGGTGACGCTTACTGGTTATGATTAGAGATGTTAAAATGCAGGAGGTTTTTTTGGTAAATGTCTAACTGCTCAAATTGTCAGCAGTTATATGTTCACATGCTCAGGGAAGGGGGCAGAAGCTCCTCAGGAAACCGCTTAAAAGCCAGCTCCCAGCAAGCACTGGCTTCCACCTGCTCCCCTTGCTGTTGCCTCTGATACAGAGGCAGCAATGCAGGTGGGGTGCTTGTGTGTAACCGTGAAGGTTAACTGATGAGCCTGTCTGCAGCATGCTAGGAGCAACACCTACACTTCTCATTTAATTGATTAACTGGTGAAATAGAAACTTTAACTGGTCAACTTGTTAAATGGGATTTTACATCCCTAGCATCAATGGTATGCATGTTCGTGTTTTATATTAGCATGTGCATGTTCTCTACATAGTTCATAAAACAGTGGGTCTTAACCCGCAAACCACTTAGAATCACAGAACTGGAAGAGACCTCAGAAGGTCATCAAGTCCAGCCCCCTGCTCTAGGCAGGACCAATTCCAACTAAATCAACCCGGCCAGGGCTTTGTCAAGCCGAGACTTAAACACCTCTAGGGATGGAGACTCCACTACTTCCCTAGGTAACCCATTCCAGTGCTTCACCACCCTCCTAGTGAAATAGTTTTTCCTAATATCCAACCTGGACCTCTCCCACCACAACTGGAGACCATTGCTCCTTGTTTTACCATCTGTCACTACTGAGAACAGCCTCTCTCCATCCTCTTTGGAACCTCCCTTCAGGAAGCTGAAGGCTGCTATCAAATCCCCCCTCACTCTTTGCTTCTGCAGATTAAACAGCCCCAAGTCCCTCAGCCTCTCCTCATAAGTCATATGCTCCAGCCCCGTAATCATTTTGGTTGCCCTCCGCTGAACCCTCTCCAATACATCCATATCCTTTTGTAGTAGGGGCCCCAGAACTGGACACAATATTCCAGATGTGGCCTCACTTGCAGCCCAATCAACACACACTTCAATCCATAGCTGAAACAAAAGACAGGACTATGCAGTACTTTAAAGACTAACAAGATGGTTTATTAGGTGATGAGCTTTCGTGGGCCAGACCCACTTCCTCAGATCAATTTGTGGAAGAAAATTGGCATGACCATATGTACCAAAGTGATACAATGAAAAAAATGAACACACATAAAATTGATCAATCAGTCCTAACCATGCCAGTTACAAGATCAAGAACACATATTCCTGCTCATCCAGAAACATAATTTATGCCATCATATGCCTAAAGGGTCCGTCTGCTATGTATACTGGACAAATTTCTCAGACACTTTGCCAAAGAATCAATGCTCATAAAACAGACATCAGGCTCCCTCACAGACAGAAAACTGTTGCTTGCCACTTTAACCAGACTGACCATTCTCTCAATGACCTTAAAACATTCATATTGCCTCAAAGAGATTTTAACTCCAGACTTCAAAGAAAAGCCTCAGAACTGTCATTCGTGCTTAAATTTGACACTTTATCTATGGGTCTTAAAGATGCTAATTATCTTACCCATTACAAAGGTAGCTTCCCCAATTATCACCCCAATGTCATTACCTCACAGACACTAACCTTCCCCCCACTGCCCCTCCTCTGTTCTTAAATCTGATTTGTCAATTTTATATATATATTTTTTAAATTGTATCACTTTGGTATACATGGTCATGCCAATTTTCTTCCACAAATTGATCTGAGGAAGTGGGTCTGGCCCATGAAAGCTCATCACCTAATAAACCATCTTGTAAGTGCTGCATAGTCCTGTCTTTTGTTTCAGTTAGATCAGACTAACACGGCCACATCTCTATCACTCTTCAATCCATAGGAGATCCTCAAGGCCACACAGGTAGCCTATGCACCCTGCAAAGGTAAATACGTTGAGAAGCACGGTCATAAAATAACATCGATATTTAAAGTTTCCTTGAGCACACATGGAAAGCATGCCACATTTAAAAAAAAACAAACAAACTTTTTCTGCAATATTTAACAATTAGATTTAAGGATTCAGTGACAGCATAGACATTGGGCTGACTATACAAGGTAAAAAAAATTAAGTTAGTAACTAACCAGTAACAACTGGTTTTTAATCAATTACAAGCCATGATTGCCAGGCTGATTTACTCAGCCTTCTCACCCACCCCGAGTCACGTCTAGTAAGGGCCAGCGGCAAAGGAGCTGCATGTGAGTGACTCGAGACTGAGGAGCGGCACAGCCCCACCAGCGACCCGAGCTGCCCGTCACGCCTCGGCCCAATCCTCGGAGGATTCAACATCGTTCTCCCTCCCGTGACGCGTTTCTGAGGAACAAGGCACGGCCCTGGAGTCGCCCGGACTCGGTCACCAGCGGGGAGAATGGACTAGAGGGAGCGGCAGGCGAGGAGGACGAGGCCGGCCGAGCCCGACAGTCGGACAAAAGCCCCCCCCCCCCGCCATCTCTCCCAGTTTTGTCGGGATCACCCCAGCAGCCAAACCCACCGCGCCTAGGGACCCCCATTACTGCCCCCCCATATCCGCTCTCGCCCAGCCCCGCCCTCCTCCCAGCGGGGACCCCACAAACCTCGCCCCGGCCCCTCGCTCCCCTACCTGCCGGCAAGTCGCAGGCCTCAGGCCTGCCCGTGCGCTCCGCTGCCCGGGTTCCTCCGCTATTCACCCCCAGCCGCTCTCAGAGCCAGGCTGCCGCCCCCCGCCTCAGGATTTCAAATGTCAACGTTAGCTCGACTCTCCAATAACAGGCCCAGAAGCTGCTCCTCGATATGAACAGACCAATCAGCGAGCGGGCTCGGAAAGGGGCTCACAGCCAATAAGAGCTACCGCACCCAAAGATCGCGAGCGTTAAGCCGTGCTGCGGTGAGGCATGCTGGGAAATGTAGTTTTCCTAAGGGAGGGGTGAGACTGGAGCGGCTCAGAATTTAAACAGACAGCACAAACGCACCAAGAGAGCCAGAGAAAGCATTGTTCACTCCTGAGCCCCAGTCCTAGAAAGGAAGCTATACGCCTGCTTGGAGTTCCAGGCTTCCAAGAAACTCTATGTGCACATTAATAGCTCATTTAGACTTTAGGTTAGCCTTTCAATTTTTTAGCTAGGCCTGTAAAATACTAAAAAGAAAAGTGGCCTAATTCTCAGAGGTGCTGAGCATTCAAGCTCCCCTGTAAGTCAGTAGGAGCAAGGAATGTTCAGAATGTCCAGATTTGGTTGCCTATAGTTAGGTGCCTAAGTTGGAAAATGCAGGTTTGCTTACCTTGACCAGGACCGCAGAAATCAGTTTCAAAACCGAGATTGATCCCCTACAGTCACTGCTTTGTATAGCCCTTGTGACTAAGGATGCTACAGGGATATCCGGTTAAACAGTTACTCAGTAAGCACCACTCTCATTGGGAGAGGGTTATTATTGGGTACCAGTTAACTGGTCCCCAGAAGCAGCTTCCCTCCCCCTCCCCCGCTCCCAGTGGCCCAGCCTGTCAGGGGCTGGGAGCCATGGTGGCAGCCCTCGCCTAGGACATGGAGCAGCCCCTGCCTGTATCAGGGGCCACTCTGTCCTGACCCCAGCAGGCGGGGGTGGGGGGCGCTCTATCCCTGCTGGAGCGTTCCCCCCTTGCCCTCTTTACATGGTTAAATGTAGCAGCGGTGTTGTGTTTAACCAATAAAACGAGATTTAACATCCCCGCGTGTGACCAGAGCATCATCCTGGCTTCTCAGTACAGAAACTAACTCCGCCAGACACAGTGGCCTGGAGTAATAGGGGAGCTTGCACCCGCTCTCAACCGGGTCAGGACAGCCCCCTCGTGTGAAGTGGCCACAGCTCTTCTTAAAAAACAAGGCCCTGCGGTAATGAGGTTTGGGGACCTCCAAGCCCAGCTCAGGGCACCTCCGGCGGGCGGTCTCTGAATAACTCTCGCTCGAGAGTTGCTTGCTATCGCCCCACCAGCTGGAAACTGTAGTGTTGCACGAAAGCCGAGACTCCGGTTAAGGAGCGGGGACGCTGGCTCTGCTGCCCAGAGGGGTCTCTGATGCTGGCGGGGCGAGCTAGAGCGCGCAGCTTCTCCAGGCGTCTCCTTGCTTTGCAGCCCGCTGGAGCTTCCCCGCCCCCGGGTTACCCGGGTGGGACCGCTGGGCGGAGGCCACGTAGAGCATTCCGGTCCTGGGAAGCCGGGTTCGCGGCACAAACTTCCTGTCCCAGGCAACAGCGCGGCGGCGGGGCCGAGGGGGCTGGGAGGGGGGAGCCATGGACTCTGGCCTACTTGGTGTTCGCCGTCTGCTTCGTGTTCACCCCCAACGAGTTCCGCTCGGCCGGGCTCACCGTGCAGAACCTGCTGGCCGGCTGGCTGGGCAGCGAGGACGTGGCCTTTGTCCACTACCACCTGCGGAGGAGCACCGGCACCATGCTGGCCCACAGCCTGCTGCCGCTCGGTGAGGCGGGGCTGCGGGGAGAGTAGCCACGTGCTGTAGGGATGGGGGAGACTGACCAGGAGAGCTGTGTGGAGGGAAGGCTTTGGAGGTGCTGAGGGAGAATAGACATGGGACAGTAGCATTGGGCGAGCATCCTCCCTTTGGTGAATGCAGCCTTGTCTTCACGGAGTTTGAAAAATGTTCCCTTGACCTGTGTGCGTGGGTGGGTATGTTCTGAAGGAAGGCAAGAACCAGATATTGAAGGTTGAGAGCTTGTCTTGTCCATAGCTTTGGTCTCTTTGCATGATTCTGTCTCTTTAGCAAATCCACAAACTCAACAGAGATACCTGTGAGGTAAAACAGTTCCTTCATATGCATAAGAACTTCATTAATCTATACTAAAATAATGATGGTCTTGCCCTGCCTAGGAGAGGAGATCTAACATCACAATGCCTTAATCAGATCTGCTATTACTAAGAATTCATTGCTTTATAAAAAAATCACTATTCCAGGATTGACTCAGACATTATAGTATAGTATAAATAAAATATCAATGGGAAAAATACAGTGAAGTGCAGCATCTTCTTACCTTCTAACTGACTGTTTACTTCATAATTTGCAGAATTTGACAGTCAGTAATGGGTTTTCCAGCAAATGGTGCAAATAGCAAGGTTCTGCTTGGAGTGTTAGATATGAATTATTCGAGCTGCTATTGAGAGTGGCCTCTAGAGTGCATGTTGTAGGGAAGTAAAATTCTGTGTAAACAAGAAATGAACACAGTCTTGCATTCACCCTGATCATGGTGCTCTGCGTCATTATGCCATTCTAATAAGGCAGTGTAAGTGAACATAAGTTATACTTAAATAACGAGAAGTCCCGTGGCACCTTATAGACTAACAGATTTATTGGAGCATAAGCTTTGGTGGGCAAAGACCCACTTCATCAGATGCATGTAGTGGAAATTCCAGAGACAGGTATAAATATACAGACACATGAAAAGAAGGGAGTACCAATCAAAAGGAAGGCCAGAGATAACCAGGTCAGTTCAAGAGCTTCAGGGGGTAGCTGAGATAGCACTTTATAGACTAACAGATTAACAAAACATGTAGAAGGTATCATATTTATTTCCATATTTTATATCCCCAACTCATAACTCCGGATATCTGAAGGAGTGGGCTGTGCCCACGAAAGCTCATGATACCATCTACATGTTTTGTTAGTCTATAAAGTGCTACCAGACCACAGATCAATTCAGTCAGGGAGGATGTGGTCCACTTCTAGCAGCTGATGTGAAGGTGTGAACACCAAAAGGAGAGAAACTGTTTTTGTAGTTGGCTAGCCATTCACAGTCTTTGTTCATTATAAACTGATAGTGTCAAATTTGCAAATGAATTGTAGCTCTGCAGTTTCTCTTTGGAGTCTGATTTTGAAGGGTTTTTTTGTTGCAGGATGGTTACTTTTAAATCTGCTACTGCTAGTTGTGGGTGAGGATAAAGTCAGAGAGCTCAGCTACCAGTTGTGCCATGGCATCATCAGGGATATTGTTCCTGACAGCTTGTATTCCATCTACATGTGGGATGTTGGTATAGAGAGCCTCTATATCCATGGTGGTTAGGATGGTGTTTTCTGCAAGATCACCAATGCATTGTAATTTTCTTAGGAAGTCAGTGGTGTCTCAAAGATAGCTGGGAGTGCTGGTGACAGACAGTCCTGCAGTAAGAGTATCAATGCCTGAGATGATGGGGCATCCAGGATTTCCAGGTTTATGTATCTTGGGGTATGTCTACACTACCACCCTAGTTCGAACTTGGGTGGTTAATGTAGTCATACGGAGTTGCAAATGAAGCCCGGGATTTGAATTTCCCGGGCTTCATTTGCATAATTTCCCATCCTTGCTGTGAATCCCAACCCCTGCCCTGAGTCCTACACCTCCCACCCCCATTTCTTACAGTGTCTCCCACATGCCTCCAAGCCCACTGTCCAAGTGCCATGTCCCTCACCATCTTCCCTGACCTCACAAGAATCTGGTCAACACTGGGAAAATCCTTTAACAACAAGTAATAGGTAAAAAATTAAAAATATAAATTTTCAATTAAGTGGTTATTGCCATTTGGAAGTGCTTGCCTTGGCCTCATCTTGCTGCCCTGCACAGTGGGATATTTCTTGTGGTCTTTCCTCAGATCCCACTGAGGAGTACTCAAAGAAACTACACCATCTGCTCAGACACTCCCTACAGAAGCACAGGAACAAATCTACACAGACATACCCATAGAGCCCCAACCAGAATTATTCTATCTATTACCCAAGGGTATTTCTACACTACCACCCTAGTTCGAACTAGGGTGGTAGTGTAGAAATACCCTTGGGTAATAGATAGAATAATTCTGGTTGGGGCTCTATGGGTATGTCTGTGTAGATTTGTTCCTGTGCTTCTGTAGGGAGTATCCCACAACTATTTCAGATTTGGGGACAATTTATACCTTCGAACCAGTGGCACCGCTATGGGCACCCGCATGGCCCCACAATATGTCAACATTGTTATGGCTGACATGGAACAATGCTTTCTCAGCTCTCATCCACTAGCGCCCCTCCTCTACTTATGCTACATTGATGGCAACTTCATTATCTGGACCCATGGGAAGGAGGTGCTGGAAAAATTCTACCGTGATTTCAACAGTTTTCACCCCATCATCAACCTCAGCCTGAGCAAGTTTACATAAGAGATCTACTTCCTCGATACTACAGTGTGAATAAGTGATGGTCACATAAACACCACGCTATACCGAAAACCTACTGACCACTATTCTTACCTACATACCTCCAGCTTCCATCCTGCACACACCACAAGATCCATTGTCTACAGCCAAGCACTAAGGTACAACCTCATTTGCTCCAACCTTTCAAACAGAGACAAACACCTACAAGACCTTCACCAAGCATTCTTAAAACTACAGTACCCGCCCAAGGAAGTGAGGAAACAGATTGACAGAGCCAAACGTGTACCCAGAAGCCTCCTGCTACAAAACAGGCCCAACAAAGAAAATAACAGAACACCACTGGTCATCACCTACAGTCCCCAGCTAAAACCTCTTCAATGCATCATCAGTGATCTGCAACCCATCCTGGACAATGATCCCTCACTCTCACAGACCTTGGGAGACAGGCCAGTCCTTGTCTACAGACAGCCCACCAACCTGAAGCAAATTCTCACCAGTAACTATACACTATACCACAGTAACTCTAGCTCAGCAACCAATTCCTGCAACAAACCTCGGTGCCAGTTCTGCCCACATAGCTATACCAGCGACACCATCACAGGACCTAACCCCATCAGCTACACCATCATGGGCTCATTCACCTGCACATCTGCCAATGTAATATATGCCATCGTGTGCCAGCAATGCCCCTCTGCTATATACATTGGCCAAACCGGGCAGTCCCTATGGAAAAGAATAAACGGACACAAATTAGTTATCAGGAATGGTAACATACAAAAACCTGTAGAAGAACACTTCAATCTCCCTAGACACACACAGTAGCATCCTGGAACAAAACAATTTCAAAAACAGACTCCAAAGAGAAACTGCAGAGCTACAATTCATTTACAAATTTGACACTATCAATTGATATTTGACACTATCAATTGATATTGAACAAAGACTGTGAATAGCTAGCCATATACAAAAGCAGTTTCACCTTTCTTGGTGTTCACACCTCCACATCAGCTGCTAGAAATGGGCCACATTCTTCCTGACTTAATTGACCTGGTTATCTCTGGCCTTTTGATTGGTATTTCCTTCTTTTCATGTGCCTGTATATTTATACCTGCCTCTGGAATTTCCACTACATGATTCTGACGAAGTGGGTCTTTGCCTACCAAAACTTATGCTCCAATAAATCTGTTAGTCTATAAGGTGCCACGGGACTTTTCGTTGTTCTCAAAGTTATTTAGTTGCCTAACTTGCACTGGAATTTCTGGGTTACTTGGTGCCATTTCCAATAACATAATAATCACTTACCTACAATTGGAAGTCTCTGATTCATCTGACTGGATGCCACAGGACTTCTCGTTGTTTATGCAGATTCAGGCTAACATAGCTACCCCTCTGATATAAGTTATACTTGGCATTTAGTATTAAATAAAGTAAGCTGTTGTGGGAGGAGAAATCTTGTAGCTCACAGGTAAGAAATCTGCATGTGAATTATGAAACTTGCATCAATCAACAGCACTAAAGAGTAAAAAAAAACAAGCTGTAAAATTTTGAATAATGGGGTTAATTCCATATCTGGGGCATGGGTATTATATAAACTTGAATTTTACTCCTGATACCTGCCAGTTGGCTATGTTTGACTATCCATTATATAAATCCATTTGATTTATTCAGCAAACTGCAACGACTTCCCTTTACTAACTGTATAATTATGATAAAAAATAAATGTCTTTTAAAGACTCGGGTTAGGAAGGTTGGAACTGGAGTCACCAATTTAAAATAAAACAAGACACCTAGACAAAACCTGCCTGATGAACTATAAGATCAATTGATGTGTATAAGTACGTATATTTTATTGTATACTGAAAGCAGATATTTTTCTTTGCAGGTTATTACATTGGCATGTGCTTTGCAACACCCAAGAAACAGCTTTTTTATTTTTACCAGGCCCCAGAAGGCTGGAAAATATTCTTCTTGCTGGCTGTTCTTGCTCCAACAGTCACTGGTATCCTGGCATATTACTGGTCACGGAACAGCTGGAATAACCATCCTTTAGCTCGGACACTTGCCTTTCATGCTCTTCCACAGTCAGGTTGGCGAGCAGTGGCTTCTTCCATTAATACAGAATTTAGAAGGATTGACAAGTTTGCTACGGGAGCACCAGGAGCAAGGGTGATTGTCACGGACACCTGGGTGATTAAAGTGACAACATACCGTTTACATGTTGCCCAACAGCAGGACATTCATCTGACAGTGACAGATTCCAGACAACATGAACTCTCACCTGATTCAAACGTGCCCGTGCAATTCCTCACCATCCGTGTTGCCAGTATTAATCCTTATGTGAAAGCTTTTGACATCCGGTAAAACAAATTGCTATGTTATTCCATGTATAGTATATGCCATTTAATGGTGGTTGGGGAAGCATATGTGGCATGTCTGCTGCTGTGACAGATCCCGAAACTTTTAAGGTGTTGACACCTTCCCTTTGCCATCTCTAGAAAAAGTTATTTCTAGCACTGTAAACACAGAGGAAATATATGTTCAAGGAAGGATGGAGATGAGGGACAAGGGAGAATTTCCTCAGTTAGAACTGTGATAAGTTCATGGAAGATAGGTCCATCAGTGACTGTTAGCCACGATGGGCAGGGATGGTGTCCCTAGCCTCTGTGAGAAGCTGGATAAGGGGATGGGGGAGGGGTCACTTGATGATTACTTGTTCTTGAAGGGCACTCTGTGGGGGAAATGAGGGGGCACATGCCCCTCAAACACTGTGAGCAGGAGGAGCAAGGGGCCAGAACCTCTGAGTGGACTGGGGGGACTAGCGAGAGTCTGGCACCTGCAGCAGAGGTCAGGACTTTTCCCCCACCCCAACTCCGCTGCTGCCTGCGAGTGCAGGGGAAGCCAGGCGAAATGGCTCTAGCCTGCTCCACTTCCCTCGGCTCCTGGTCACTTTGCTCCGCTTCCCCCTTGCGGTTGCCAGTGAGTTTTGGGGGGGGGGGGGAGTCCAACCCCTGCTGCTGGCACTAAACCCCCACTAGCCACTCAGGGAAGTGGGCTTGCGGGAAGCATTGGAGCAATGGCGAGGCCTGGGGTGCAGAGTCGATTGGCTGCCCTCCCCGGGGCAAGGAGTGGCTCAGGGAGGAGTCTTGGGGGGTGGAGATCATGTGGCCAGTGCTGCGACCTGCCCTGTATTGTCACTCCACAGCAGTTGCCTCTTCCAGTTCTGTTCATTCCCTCTAAAGCACCTGGCATTGGCCATTGCCAGAAGGCAGTATCCTGAGATAGATGTTATTTGCTTAAACGAAGCACACAGGATATTTTATAGGGGAAAAGGCAGTACACCACATTTATTGAGAATACAACTGTTGCATATGCTTTTCAATCACTCTCACACACAAACATCATTCATACACAGTCCCACCAGACGATGTCATAGTTGCCAGTCCAGATTCTGTATCAGTCTAGTGGCCAGTTAGATTGAGCACAGAGGGAGAGCAGGGCCTTTGTCGGTTGATCGATCCAATGCTCCTCTGGAGTTGGTGGTAAGATGAACCCAAAGTTCCATAGCAAAGCACTCTGCTTTTATAATCCTTTCAGTTTGTGACCGGTGACTGTTATCATTTGATGTTGATATTCATTCCCAAAACATCTCGAAAGGCTCATCCTGTCCTGGATTTAATCAGTTGTTTTCTGGGGTGCCCCCGCTTCACCTTTAGAGCAGTCAGTTCTGCCAATCTGATCAAATTCTTAACCGTGGGTACGCACTCATCGTTTTTCTGATGCCGATATGTTTCTTCACAGTCTGTCTTCACCCCACATTCTCCCCCTTCTCTCTTGACCATCTGGCTCTAACGATGACCTTCATACTGTATCTCATTCATACAAACAGTCTTTCTCACAGAATCCTTCAAAGGTAAACAGCAGTGTTTTATTTTAAGCAAAATCAAAACAATTCACATCGAAGGCCCAGGCCTTCAATATTTCTAATCTCATTAACATAGACACAATATGAGATCCTGTCTCTTTACTTACTAAACTTTAGAACAAGGAAATATAGGAGATATATACTTAACTAAAGAATTTAATTTACTACAATATTAAATATAATTTATAGATTACCTTACATTACTAAACCTAAAATACAAATATAAAAAGAATAAAACTTTCAGTTCCAACATAGATGGACCATTGGTCTGACCTAGCATGGCCATTCTTATGTCATCCGGATTGTAAGTAGTTTGTACCTCTCTGGTTCAGTATCCTCAGGACCTGATCGGTCCTGGACCAGGGGAGGTCAGTACCAGCCCCTCTGCTGCCACCAGCTGCAGAGCTCTCCTCCAGCAGTAGCAGCAGAAGGGTGGTATTGACCGAGCAGGGACTCGGCAGGGGGAGGTACTCTGGAGAAGAGGCAGGATGGCTGCAGAGTCCCACAGCTGGAGGCCGGGAGCACAGTCCTCCGACCTGTGACCTCCAGGCTGTGCTCCTGGCTCCCAGCCAATATGGTTTTGCAGACATCCTTCCTCTTCTCCCAGCATCCCCTTCCTTATTCCTTCCCCTCCCTTCCTGAGCTGGAACACCGTATATGAGCTATTTGTGGCACTCTGGGAGGGTAGGAGAGGAGTTGCTAAGCACAGGGCCTAGCTTTTCCATGTGAGTAGAACCCTGCATGGATACAAAATTTATATCTGTAAAAATGAGCTAAGAATAGCCACAAATTTGCAGGGTTCTAGATACAATCCGCATCTGTATTGCAAAAAATGAGCTGTGGATATCCACATCAGTGAATATAAAGCAGATATGTGAGCATTTGTAGAGCTCTACCCGTGAATCCTTAGCACGGGGATGCCAGATTACAGATGTCTAGCTATCGTCTTTGGAAAATGATGGGAGACAGGAGAGATTCCAGAGGACTGGAAAAGGGCAAATATAGTGCCCATCTATAAAAAGGGAAATAAGAACAACCCAGGAAACTACAGACAAGTTAGTTTAATTTCTGTGCCAGGGAAGATGATAAAGCAAGTAATTAAGGAAATCATCTGTAAACACTTGGAAAGTGGCAAGGTGATAGGGAACAGCCAGCATGGATTTGTAAAGAACAAATCATGTCAAACCAATCTGATAGCTTTCTTTGACCTGTGACCTCCAGGCTGTGCTCCTGGCTCCCAGCCAATATGGTTTTGCAGACATCCTTCCTCTTCTCCCAGCATCCCCTTCCTTATTCCTTCCCCTCCCTTCCTGAGCTGGAACACCGTATATGAGCTATTTGTGGCACTCTGGGAGGGTAGGAGAGGAGTTGCTAAGCACAGGGCCTAGCTTTTCCATGTGAGTAGAACCCTGCATGGATACAAAATTTATATCTGTAAAAATGAGCTAAGAATAGCCACAAATTTGCAGGGTTCTAGATACAATCCGCATCTGTATTGCAAAAAATGAGCTGTGGATATCCACATCAGTGAATATAAAGCAGATATGTGAGCATTTGTAGAGCTCTACCCGTGAATCCTTAGCACGGGGATGCCAGATTACAGATGTCTAGCTATCGTCTTTGGAAAATGATGGGAGACAGGAGAGATTCCAGAGGACTGGAAAAGGGCAAATATAGTGCCCATCTATAAAAAGGGAAATAAGAACAACCCAGGAAACTACAGACAAGTTAGTTTAATTTCTGTGCCAGGGAAGATGATAAAGCAAGTAATTAAGGAAATCATCTGTAAACACTTGGAAAGTGGCAAGGTGATAGGGAACAGCCAGCATGGATTTGTAAAGAACAAATCATGTCAAACCAATCTGATACCTTTCTTTGATAGGATAACGAGTCTTGTGGATAAGGGGGAAGCGGTGGATGTGGTATACTTAGACTTTAGTAAGGCATTTGATACGGTCTCGCATGATATTCTTATCAATAAATTAGGCAAATACAACTTAGATGGGGCTACTATAAGGTGGGTGCATAACTGGCTGGATAACCATACTCAGAGAGTAGTTATTAATGGTTCACAATCCTGCTGGAAAGGCATAACAAGTGGGGTTCCACAGGGGTCTGTTTTGGAACCGGCTTTGTTCAATATCTTCATCAACGATTTAGATATTGTTGTTCATCTTGACCTCTGTGGGTAGAACAAGAAGCAATGGACTTAAACTGCAGCAAGGGAGGTTTAGGTTGGACATTAGGGAAAATGTTCCTAACTGTCAGGGTAGTCAAACACTGGAATAAATTGCCCAGGGAGGTTGTGGAATCTCCATCTCTGGAGATATTTAAGAGCAAGTTAGATAAATGTCTATCAAGGATGGTCTAGACAGTATTTGGTCCTGCCATGAGGGCAGGGGACTGGACTTGATGACCTCTCGAGGTTCCTTTCAGTCCTAGTATTCTATGATTCTATGTTGCTGGATGATGGAAATCTGGACTATAGTGGACCAACCACTATCTATTTTGTTTCCTAAATTGTGCCTCTGTTTTGCTGTTTCTGTTTTACAAGTCACTGTTTATGTAGGAACTAGATCAGGGTGGGCAAAGGGGCTTCCACGGGCCTGATCTGGCCCACCAAGCGAGTGGATCTGGCCTGTGGCGGCTCTGCCGCTCCCACTGCTCCCAGGCCAATCAGGGTCTGGGAGCAGAGGAAAGCACATGAAGTTTTCCCCTGCCCTACAAGGGGCTCAGCACTCAGTCAACCACCAACTGCTGGTCAGCTGGCGGTTGACTCTAAGCACAGCGCTTCCTTTCAGGACAGGGAGCAAGAAACTTCATGTGCTCCCCTTCCCCAGGCCTTGTTTGACCTGGGGGCAGCAGAGGGAGCATGCAAAGTCTCCACCCAGGGCACAGGTACCTAGAGGGAATCGCCAGCTGTTCAGAACATATAGTGCCGTGGTCCCCAACCCGGGTGCGCCGCGCGTGCCCTGGCCCCGGCGCCGGCCCCGGCCTTGGCCCTGCCCCCAGGCGCGCGGCGCTTACGGGGGAAGCGCCGGCCCCGGGCGCGTGGCTATGGGGGGGGCCCCGGCCCCGGCCGGGCAAGTGTCCCCGCCCCCTGGCGCCCGACAACCTGAAAAGGTTGGGGACCACTGATCTAGTGGTTCTCTTGGGTGGGGGCGCCGTGCGTGCCCTGACCCTGGCTCCGGCGCCGGCCTTGGCCCCGGCGCCGGCCCCGGCCTTGGCCCTGCCCCCAGGCGCGCGGCGCTTACGGGGGAAGCGCCGGCCCCGGGCGCGTGGCTATGGGGGGGGCCCCGGCCCCGGCCGGGCAAGTGTCCCCGCCCCCTGGCGCCCGACAACCTGAAAAGGTTGGGGACCACTGATCTAGTGGTTCTCTTGGGTGGGGGCGCCGTGCGTGCCCTGACCCTGGCTCCGGCGCCGGCCTTGGCCCCGGCGCCGGCCCCGGCCTTGGCCCTGCCCCCAGGCGCGCGGCGCTTACGGGGGAAGCGCCGGCCCCGGGCGCGTGGCTATGGGGGGGGCCCCGGCCCCGGCCGGGCAAGTGTCCCCGCCCCCTGGCGCCCGACAACCTGAAAAGGTTGGGGACCACTGATCTAGTGGTTCTCTTGGGTGGGGGCGCCGTGCGTGCCCCGGCCCCGGCCGGGCAAGTGTCCCCGCCCCCTGGCGCCCGACAACCTGAAAAGGTTGGGGACCACTGATCTAGTGGTTCTCTTGGGTGGGGGTGAGGGGCAAAGACTTTGTGCACTACCACACCCCCAGACCAATCAAGGTTTGTGGGTGTAGAAGCACAGAAGTGTCCTGACCCCGCCCCTTCCGTCCAATGCCCTGCCCCTTCCAGAGGTGGTGGGGCCACTTCAAAAATTTCTGAAGTGGCTCATGATCAAAATTATTGCCCATCACTGGCCTAAGTTTCTTGGGTAGTAGAGTACTCGACTACTCACATCCCTAGAAGACAACATCACAGGAACTTGAGTAGATATGATTCCATTCAGCCATGGTCAATGGTGACCTGCACACTAGCCGTCACATTACAAATAAGCATATTATCCCAGGAATGTCTCATTCAAAGTATCTCCTAGGTACAATCTTCAGGACCTGTGCCTTTTATATTTTTTTTTTAATTTTTGGAGACTCCTTCATATTGTAACTTTAATCCAGTAGTATTCAGTCTGATTGCAGCCCTAAATTAAAATATCATAGAAACGTCTTGCTAGAAGGGATCTCAACATTAGGAGGCCCGTTAGTCCACCCTGCTCTGCTGAGGCAGACTTAATTGTACCATGCCATAGGCTAACTTACCTATCAAAATGGTTCTCAGTATACTGCAGAGAGAATGTAGTCAAAACAAGATGTGTTGTTTTCAGATTAGAGCTGTCAAGTGATTAAAAAATTTAATCACGTGAATAATTGCGTGCAACTTCCCTTTGAAATGCCGCCGTGGCATTTCAACAGAGCAGTGCTGGGATCAGCTGGAGTTCAAAAGCCGTGGCATTTCAAAAGGGAAGTGCAAGGCAGAGCTCTGGGTCAGCTGGAGTCCCCAACTGACCCCGGGCTCCATGCAGCGCTACCCCTTTAAGGCGCCAGAGCAGCATTTCAAAGGGGCTTTGCAAGCAGAGCTGGGGATCAGCTTGGAACTCCAGCTGATCCCCAGCTCCCCTGTTGCAAAGTTTCACTTCAGAGGCAGCACAGCATTAACACTTGAGAGTAATGCATTAATTTTTTTTAACGCATTAATCCTGTCCTGCGTTAATCGCAGGTGTTAATGCAGGTCAATTGACAGCCCTATTTCAGTTTTTAAGCTTAATTTGTAAAGGCTGAAAAACTGGAGGCTATATAGCCAGAGACAAGAGTTTTCCACTTCAACCTGTTAGAAATCTTTCAAGGCTAAGACTAAGATGATTTTTCTAGTAATTCTTGGAGGAATATTCTTTATTGCTTCTGGCTGTGATAGAACCAAGCAGTTAGTTGTGTCCCTACTAACTGCACTGTCCAAATAAGCTCTTATTATGCTCCTGAAATTACTCTCCTAATGTAGAGGTTTTGTGTCAGAGGCTTCTATTTCCTAGAAAGATCCAGCAATAATTGCCTTTCACATCCTAATTTGTCCTGTGTGCCTGGTAATCTAAAGCAAAATTGCTGTATTACTGTGCTTTCTCAAAATGGGGGAAGAGCAGGTTTAAAAAAGCCACATTCATTGTGATTTTCTAACTCAGGACAAGTTTGGATTGATTTAAGTCAAGTTTCCCACTGACATTTCTTAATAGTGCAAAACTGATTACTAAAACATGTTAACTTAGAACTCAGTACAGCATTTTACAACATCTAGGAGGGCATACTTTGTGCACTTGATTTTTATTAATTTAGGAAATAGCACGTTAATACTCATTACCTGTGTCAGCTGCAGATATAACAGCAGTACATTAGAAATGGTAAGAACTAAATCACACACACACAAACACAATGGGGATGTGAAAGTGTAACCATATTCACGGTTAACCGATGAGCGTGGACTAATCAATTAACCTTCATGGTTACATGCAGGCTCTCTGGAGAGCTGCCTTTCCCCTCGTGTTTAACCATGTAATTGCTGAAATTTTCCACGGTTACATATTTACTTGATTAAACACATTTTAACATCCTTAGGACTTACATTTTATTAAACTAAATCTTAAAAGGTATTGCAATTGCAGCAGTCTCCTGAGTGGCCAGCTGACACCTGTCCATACATTTTTTTTTAATTTTCAAATTTTATTTCTCTGACAACACTAAATATATCAATATCGAGCTTTCATCTTCTGCACTCTGATTGTCTTTTTGATTCATAGACTGAAACAAAAATATGAATTTTCCATCTTTTTCAACTCCCAGTCGATTTCTTATCTTTGAGTGAATAATATCAAACAATAAAATATTCTCTGTGCTTGCAGAGGACGCTACTTCTGTGAAAAGTTGGCTTAGCAACTGAAAGGAACTCTGTTTCAAGGTATTTGGCTAATGATTTCCACGCATTCAGAGGAGTGACAGTGTTCAAAACAACATCAGTATCTGTCCTGTAGCTAAAGGGATGGCTTCATTCTTCAGAATTAATAGACTAGCCTCCTTTCATGAATGCATAGGCCCAACATTTTCAGACATGGCTTCAGGGTTGTGGTGGCCCAGTTTTTGGAACTACGACATGACTGAACTTGACCAGGATTTACTAAAGTGTCCTACACCTGCAACTCCATTTGAAATTGTTAGGGAGCTGTTAATTGCACAACATCTCCAAAGAAACAAGCCAAAGGTGTGTTAAGTTGGGCACTAAACTCCGGAAGCCAGCTTCAAAAATATGGTCCCATACGAACTATTCGTAATAATTTTAAAAAGGAGTGAATGTGTTTAGGATTCAGGGTTTGTGCTGACCTGCAGAAAAGGAAAGTAACATTTTTTCTTTTTACTGCTATGTTTTTTTAAAAAGCCCAAAGTGTATTTATTCTGACTAGGTTCCAGACTGCACCAAACTACACAACTTTTCTAGGCATTCACTTTTTTGATGTTATGCTTTAAAGTAGCAAACAAGATAATTTTCTCTTCTTAATGGATTTGCGGAAAACATTCTGTTCCATCCTTTCTTCTCAGATTGAACTCCACAGAATATGGGGAACTGCGAGAGAAACTTCATGCTCCTATCCGTAATGCAGCTAATGTTGTGATCCATCAAAGTCTCAGTGACTTATTTCTGGAAACCTTTACATCGTTGGTGGAAATTAACCAGATACACCCTGTTCCCAGCAATCAGGTGGGAGTTTTTAATCATGTGACAGTTGCTGTTTCTGGCATAGTCAAATCTACCATTACTGTGTTTGTATACTGGTTATCTTATAGTTCAGTAAATATTTAGTAAAATAAATCTGGCTGTTTCTTCTGCTGTTTGCCTCAAGCGAAGCCACTGATGAAGTTTTGGGGAGAATGTGAAATATCATAATAAGGAGTTTTATTCACATTTGATGTCAATACTAGGGGTTGACCTTGAGAATTTAGAAATGATAGTAACATTGCCATGTGTGGAATCATAGAGATCGGGTATCAATAATAAACCTTCAGGCTCAGAAATGTACAACTACTGGGTTGAGAGAGGATTAGGCTAATTTGATTGTAAATAATACTTGGCACTTTTCACTGAGGGTATGTCTACACTACCCCGCTAGTTCGAACTAGCGGGGTAGTGTAGACATACCCCAACTCTCATTCTCACGCCCCCATTTTCCTAATCTCCTGTCCTATAGCCCATCTCCAAGGCCCTGCCCTGACTCCTTCACCCCCACACAACGTGCACCCTGCCCTGAAGGACCTAGGCAATGCTGGCTAAGTCTTATAATCCAAAATATTTTTTTTAGGTTTTTCCTTAACTAAAATCATAAAACCTGACATGCATACATTGGAATATCTAGTGGTTTCTCAAGATACAGGATTACTAAATGGAAAAAGGAAAAGGCAGTTCTGTTTAGGAGCTTATCCTGTTTAGCATGTCATATTTGTGTTGCATATATACAGACATTAAAATAATCTTAAATCATAGATTCTCCTGGGGAATGGAATGTAACTGTACTACACAATGGTTGCTATGCAAAATATGGTAAATATGATAAGACCATTTAGGCACAAAATGGTTAAGTGACTTGCCCAGAGCCACACTAATAGTTAAAAGAGCTGAGAGTAGACCTTAGGTCTACTTTTTCCTAGTTTAGTGCCCTATCTGCTGGACCAAGTAAATATTTTGAGGACATGGGCTGGAAAGCCCAATGGCAATGCAAATTATAATTTCTAATAAAATCATTGATAACTGTTCTTCCAGCCTGCTCCATCCCCCAGGGGCCTGAAGGTGCATCCTTAACATGACTAACTATGAATAAATACCCCAGATAGTCTGTCCATTTCAGTTGCACAAAATTTGCTGGAAAACTCCCAGTGGGTGAAATCCTAACTAACTTGAAAAAAACACTCAATAACTTTATTGGAGTCAGGATTCACACAAAATATCTTCCTTCCTTTTTGGGCCAAGGGGAATACATAACAGATATTACATTTCAGGTAGCTTCATATACATTGTTGAAGAGCAATATAAATAATAATTAGTTATACAGGTTTTTTTTTATCTTTTCTTTTTCTGTAGGAGTTGGAGCCATGTATAGGGTGTATGCAGATGAATGCAAACATCAAGCTTGTTAAAAATTGCCAAGAGCCAAATGAAGGAGAATGCCAACAATGCTACTGTCGTCCTATGTGGTGCCTGACTTGCATGGGGAAATGGTTTGCCAGCCGACAGGATCAGGAGCACCCAGAGACCTGGCTATCAAGCCAAGTGCCTTGTCCAACCTGCCGAGCCAAGTTTTGTATTTTAGATGTTTGCCTAATACAATGAATAATATTTTGGTACAACCTACCTTTTGAAATTGGAATGTATTCACAGCAGGACTAGATGCATGCCCCATTGGATTTGTTTCTTGCTCTTCTGCTTCTGCGGAGATAAAAGCTCTGGAGTTTTCTTCTTCAAAGCCCTGAAAATGGAACCCAATGTTATCTTTTCATTGTCTCCCCACTCCTCAAAATACATTTTCCATTTTTATTCACTAACATAGTTAAAATTTTAGTGTGTTGTGTTTTTTTTTTTTTTTTTTTTTTAACTTTTCATTTCCAAGCTCTTGAATTCATTTTAAATCAATAATAGTGGCCCATTTGTTTCACTTATAGGTGAAATTCTGGTAAACTATCTGTATTTTAAGTGCTATTCTGGTTACAGGTTTAAGCGCATGTGTTTAATGATTCTTAACATAAGGACTGATTTTCCTTTATAATAAAATATACTCAGCAAGTTGCTGTTCTTAAGGACTGTCAGCTCAAATTGTGACTTGCCTTCATCTTGAATCTGTTTGTAAAATCCATATTAACCTTTGTAGGCTTTTCCCAATACAGACGTCTCAGGGCTATGTTTTACCCCACACATCAACTACTATAGACATTTAGGAAATTATGTTCCCAAAGTTGCCTGACTTCTGCAGGGGGCTTAGCACATAGAATAGAAAATAAGTTGTTTCAAGATATATTTAGTATATAAGGAAGGGCATTAAAGAGGGGTCATCAATTGAGTTTATTAATCTGAAGTGCTCTGGTGCTGTGTACAACATCGAATAGCTAAAGCTATTCTTTTCCTCAGATGACACTGTTTGGCATCTCAACACTCTCTAGCTGGTGCTACTGTTAAGCATGACTGTAAGGCTTTTTTTATATTACCTTGGGCCATGGACCTAAGTTGTGCAACTTTAGGTCCATGTACTTAGGTCCACTTACTATAGTATCTTCACAACATTAAGTCAACAGATGACGCTCTCCAGTAGACTCTGCCTATCCTTTTCATTTTTGTAGAGTATCAGAGTTGATGGGAGAGTGCTCGGTTGATTTATTGCATTGACACGATAAATCAACCCCCACTGGATCAATCATTGCCCGTCAATCCAGCAGATAATGAAGACATGCCCTTTAGAAGAAAAGTAGCAAGCATCTCAATTATCTGAGTAATCCAAAATAATGTTCTGCTATGTAAAAATCTGTAGCTTCATCCTAAGCAACTGCCTATCCAAATGAATGGGATGTCAGTAATTACGTAAGTACGTGCAGTCATGCTGGCTAAAAGTAGGACCAGTATTAGTGAAAGCGGTTTGGTTTGATTTTCGCTTTATTTTGAAGCCTGATCATAAACAGTTACCACTACGTAAACAGTTACCACTACGTTAACAGTAACAAGAGAATTTCATAGGATCATAGAACACTAGAACCGGAAGGGACCTCAAGAGGTCATCGAGTCCAGTCCCCTGCTCTCGCGGCAGGATTAAGCACCATTCTAGACCATCTCTGATAGATGTCTGTCTAACCTGCTCTTAAATATCTCCAGAGATGGAGATTCCACAACCTACCTAAGCAATTTATTCCAGTATTTAACCACCCTGACAGGAAGTTTTCCCAATGTCCAACCTAAACCTCCCTTGCTGCAGTTTAAGCTCATTGCTTCTTGTCCTATCCACAGAGGCCCAGGAGAATAATTTTTCTCCCTCCTTCTTGTAACACACTCTTGGATACTTGAAAACCACTATCATGTCCCCTCTCCATCTTCTCTTTTCTAAACTAAACAAGCCCAATTATTTCAGTCTTCCCTCATAGCTTATGTTCTTCAGACCTTTAATCATTCTTGTTGATCTTCTCTGGACCTTCTGCATACTTTTGCAAAATTTTCCATACTTTTTAGCATGTGTCCCCCACCAGGCTAATTTATAAGCAGAGTTTGCACTGTTGGTAGCTGCGGTTGAAGCTGTAGTATGGACACGCAGTGGGTTAGCGTGACAACACAGTGGTAAAAGTGTCTGTGCTTTCATATACTATAGCTTCCACACTGGAGCTATGCTGATGCAGAAAAGCACAGAGATTCCCCTGGTGCAGCTAAAACCTTAGCTCTAGCGTGTCAACCTTTGTGGCCTTGTCTACCCAGGTACTTTTCTTAAAACCTCTCACTGATGCAACTCCACAAGTATCGGTCAGAGCATAGACATGGTGCCAGCTTCTGAGTCATTGTAGGTCATGTAGGACCACTCTGAGCAGAAGTAGACAGCATAGTGTAAAAAATGATAGCAGCCACTGTGCACTAGAGCTCCAAGCACTGGTAATAATTATGCTTTGAAGGATTAAATTTTTAGGATTAAATGTCAGTAAACCTTGATTTCACTATATATGCACAAACTGGTGAAAAAAAATTTGCAGCAATACTAACTGAAATAAATTGATAAACAGAAAAATGCTGCTTGATTACTTATTTAGAATCCTACATCACTATATCTAAAATGTGTTGTATGTCTGGCTTTAGCAGACTGGAGCAGGGCTATCATTTAGGTAGCTTTTAACTTTCTGAATCTTAATTTCTGCTGTAAATAATTATTGCTTAGTCCCTTCCCCTCCCCAATTTCTTCAAAGGAGAAAATATAAATAAATAAAAATATTTTTAAAATGCTTAAAAATAAACATCTGTACCTTATAAGCAGTGAGCTGCAACAGCATAAGATTTCATTTCAACTTCAGTAAAGCCACAGTTTGAGTGGTGTGTAGATACAAACCAGGCATGTCAAGAACTGGTTACAAATATGGTTAAAACTTGTATTGTGGACAGGGCTAAGGGCTCTTAGAAATGACAGATAGGCATCTTTTTTTTTGTTTTAATATTCATATTGGTAAACTGCCAAACAACTTGTGTTTGGGGAAGATAATCACTTGAGCATGTGTCATGACTGTTAGGCATGCACGTTTTACCATGAAATACTGGCTATGGTTTATACTTATTAATTAATTATGATTTTCCTGGGTTTTGTATCTCAGCTGTTTCAGATCAGATGGAATAGGAACTTGATGTGGAAGTTGGCCATGTAAATCTTAAATCGGTCACAAAAAATTGCAAACTGACAATATTTTTATTTGACTAGAATCAAATTCAATTTCTCAGCTTCTGATAGGCTTGTGCTAATTCTGAAATAAAAAAAAATTAACACTAAATTTAAAATGCTATGGAGTAGTTTGTGGGGAGGTTATTTTGAAATGGCATTTGCAGTATTCTTTCATTTTATATTATATTCAGTTTTACTGGACTGAATTCTGCTTTCAGATAGGTGTGTGCCTTTATATGGATAACCTTTTATTTTAATCAGGGTTGCACAACATAATTGTTAAAAGTTGTGGTCTTTAATTGAGTAGGTACAGCAAAAAAATCGGAGTCTGAACTTAGCTCTCTCGTTGAAAATTTTTAAGTCAGTTTTCCCATTTGGAATAATTATTGCAGAGATGTTATGAAGCTTAATTCATAAAGGATTTTAAATCCTTGGATGAAAAGCACTATAAAGTTGCAGAGTATTTTTAATAAAGTAAGAATAAGATGATTGCCAAAATGTCTTTTTAATAAGAGCTTTCATGTCTGAGCAGTGTGCCCAGTAGATTCACTCTGTATTTCTTTACTTTTTTAACTATAAAAAGCCTCTTTATGAGATGATTGGAAGTTTTAATTTCAGGGGTTCTTTGTATCCCAAGAATAAAGGTTAGTTACACTTTATAATATTGTAGGATGAGAAATGCAGTAATATTCTTGTAATTTTTAATGTTACAGGTTGTACCTCTCTGATGCAGCACACTTGCAACCTCATGGGTCCCGGATGAGGGATTTTGCTGGACCAGGGAAGGTCATTTCTGCCCCCTCCTCCCCCTCTCCCCCAACCATGGCCTCACTGCCAACCTCCCCTTTCCACTGTCGCCAGCCCCTCAGCACAGGGCTCCCGGCTCCAGCATGGCAGCTCTGCTGACACAAGCACAGCCCTGCTGCTGGGCTCCTGGTTCTGCGGGGCAGCCCCCCCCTGCTGGGGTCCAGTTGCATCGCCAGGCCTCTCTGGGCAGTCCCACTGCCTTCCAACCTCACCGGGCATCTCTGCTGACCAGCAGGGGGGCTGCTGGGCTTTTTACTGTGCCACCGGACAACTGCCCCACTCCCCGGTTCCTGGCCCCGCTGCCAGGCAGTCCCGCTGTCAAACTCCTGGCCCCACTGCCTCCTAGTCCCTCTATGCTGCTGTGCCATGGCAGCAGCAGGGCTGCTAGACTCCTGGTTGTGCTGCTGGGCGGCCCTGCTGCCAGATTCTCATCACCACCACCAGGCAACCCCCACTGCCTTCCGGTCTTGACAGGCAGTTTTGCTGCTGGGCGGCAGCTCTGCTATTGGGCTGCAGTCCTGCTGCCTCTTGCCCCCCAGTACCCAACCGGTGTCACCACTGGGAAGCAGCCCTGGTGCAGTGCTCCCAGCCACCAGCCTGCCACGGGACTCTCTGGTCCTGGAACATCCATGGTCCTTTCAGACCATGGATGGTGCTGGACCAGAGTCCTGGTTAAGAGAGGTTCAACCTGTAGTGCTGTATCTATGGAAGTGCCTCTTAGCAATGTTTCTCAAATGTGGCCACAATGACCATATGTGGGCATCAGAGAGTATTCCTGTGGCCATGACAGCCTTCTGGGCAGAGATGGGAACAAAGAAGCCCCTCTGCAGTGCCCAGGTGCTCCACAGGAGGGTTTCAGCCCCTCTGTCTCTTCCTCTCCCCCCTTCCTCTTCAGCTACATAACTCCACAGTTCAGCTGGAGGTGAGCTTTGGTCCCCTCCATCAGCCTTTGGGCTCTAGCAGCAGAGTCCATGCTTCAGGAACTCCATCCCAGGCTTCAGACCCTCTCATCCTCCCACTTGATGGGGTTCTAAGCACAAACCCTCCCAGCCGTAGGGTTCCAGATCTAGGCTTCAGCCCAGGGCAGTTGGGGCTGCAGCAGGGCTGGCCTTAGGTACTGCGGTTAAGAGGGATGATCCTGGGGTATGTGGCCATGGTGTCTGTGTGTATGGTGTTGAGAGCGCCTGGGGGGTGATTCGTGGAGGGCAGGGGAGGCCAGGGCACCAAAATACAACTGTACAGTCTTTTTATTATTGAATTGGTAGGAAAAAACCTACATAAATAAATAATGATTTGAACATTTAATATGTGCTTATTTATTTGTTTCTCTAAAGCTAATGTAGTGGTTTAGGAAAATTTGTAAGAGCAGCCACCAGCAAGAGTTGGTAGCTAAAATTCAAGGCTGTCAAAAATTTGTTGCAAGAACCCTTCTTAAAAGATTCACTAATATTTACCAAATAAAATTATTTTTGTAATGTCATGAATACTAATTGAAAAATTCCTAAAATAAAACTTGTAGGCTACGTCTAGACTGGCATGATTTTCTACAAATGCTTTTAACGGAAAAGTTTTCCATTAAAAGCGTTTGCAGAAAAGAGCGTCTAGATTGGCACGGACACTTTTCCTCAAAAGCACTTTTTGCGGAAAAGCATCCGTGCCAATCTAGATGCGCTTTTGTGCAAAAAAGCTCCGATCGTCATTTTCGCAATCGGGGCTTTTTTGCGCAAAACAAATCTGAGCTGTTTACACTGGCCCTTTTGCACAAAAGGACTTTTTCCCCGAACGGGAGCAGCATAGTATTTCCGCAAGAAGCACTGATTTCAGACAATAGGAAGTGTTCTTGCGGAAATTCAAGCTGCCAGTGTAGACAGCTGGCAAGTTTTTCCGCAATGCTTTTGCGGAAAAACTTGCCAGTCTAGACACAGCCGTAAAGTTTAGATTGTTTGAATAAATCCAGCATGCCTCTAAGTTCTGCAAGCATCTTATTAGATATGATAGACTAGAGAACTGTTTTCAAATCTCCATCATCTTCACCTTTAGCGCTGGTAGAAAATGAGCAAAGGGCCAGTGTGTAAAGTAGTATAATAAATCCACAGAGGGCACAAAACACAAGTAGGATAGGGCCTACAAAATACTCTCATATGTTATCCTTCTGGAAAAACACAGGTTGCAATGCAGAGTTCAATACACTAGGGCTTATTTGAACTTGAAAATGAATACAGATTAAAGTTGGATGTGAAAGTAAGGTAGACAAGCTAATCTGAAACAACACCAGGTATGGACAAGCGCTGGCTCCTAGCAATGCAAGGTGCTAGCACCAGTCCCAACGCTGCAACAATGCGGCCGCAGCGGGGTTCGGATTCTCCCGCCAACACGCCCTTGGGGGCGGAGCCCTTCACCAGAGACCGGGGAAGAGGTCGCGCGGCTCCAGCTGTAGGG